CCCCCCCCCCCCCCCCCTTTGGGAATGGCCTAAAGACACTTCAGTCAGTGGCACCGCCCCGGAGGGTCGACAGATGTTTGACAGGTAAGAAGGAACAAACCCCACGACAGATGTTTGACAGGTAAGAAGGAACAAACCCCACGACAGAGGTTTGACAGGAATGTTTCGTTTTAGTAAGAGTTTTACAGCATTTGCAACACAATAACGTCATATAAGTGCCGAAGATTAGAGATGTTACAAGAGAGTGACAAACACAAAACAAAAAGGGGGAGAGATAAGGACGTTAGATGTTTGGTGGGAAAGAAGAAGCAAACCACACCAGAGTACCCGCCAACCACCCGCTGACAGGAAAGAAGGAACAAACCACAGGATAGATGTTTGATAGGAAAGACGGAACAAACCACACCAGAGCACCCGCCAACCACCCACATCTGTAATTTTGGAGGCGGGATGTTACGACCCTGCCTGCTAGAGACTACTTGACATTTGTGGAGTGCAGAATCCCAGCAGAAATGGGGAGATGTTTGCCATAATAGATTTCCTCAGGAAGGGAACCGAGATCAGCTCGTTTGTCAGTCACGGTAGAGAACCTGATTAATTGGTCGCTTTTAAGGACAAGAGGGCTGACCCAGATTTCGGGGGTTTCCAGAAATCTTGACCTACACCAAAAGTGGGCATTGCTCTTCCTATAGGAGAAGTTTGGTTTCATTGGTGTGCATATTTGTTTGGCTATAGATAAAACTCTCCTTGTCTTTAAAAAAAACTGAACAAGGGTCCAAAAACTTTACCTTCGATTTTCTCAAAACGGCATTTTTCGGGATAGCCCCTTGTGCTTAAAAGCGTCTATTTGTGGGGTGCAGAATCCCAACAGAAATGCAGAGATGTTCGCCATAACAGATTTCCTCAGGTAGGGAACCGAGCTCAGCTCGTTTGCAAGTCATGGCGCAGAACCTAATTAATCATCAAATGAAATTTTCACCACAAACGCGACGTCGGTTTGATACAGCCGTAGTCTTTGGCATTGGGACAGAATATGATACTTTCACGGAGGAGGAGAAGGAGGAGGCAAGTTGGACAGTGCAAACGGTGTGCAAGCATACAGAGGGATGTCGTCCACCACCCACCATAAATAATTAGAGTTTATAAGAGCGGTCTACAGAAAACTACCCAACAACTTGAGAAGTTTATACATCTTTTGTCTCTGCATGGTATCGGATTAAACAACAGGAAATTTAACGTTCAAGAATGGAAAGTCAAAACGACCCCCACCCCCCCCC